TGTAATGAAGTAAGAATTGACATTTTTTTTCCTGATCGCTGTTGAATATCACCAGAGCTGTTTCAAACCGTTTCACCCAACGTGACCACCTTGTCGTATTCGGGTTGAAAGCATCAAATTGAAAAACCGCCGCTGGTGTTACAGCCTCCGGTGTAGGTGCCATTTTTCTTTGTACGCAAGAAATGTTCGACCGTTCGCGTGCTTCGTCCTCGTCGCCAACTGTTACAACCTGTCACTTTGCTTGCCAATTGCGAACTCTTTTATTATGTTCTTTCGTTTATGTTACATGCTACATTTATATGAGTGTGTTCTTATGCATACATAGTAATGATACAACATAATCCATAAGTGCGGTCGAAGGCCGCCTACGCAGAAAGGTGTTCTCTGCTAAAGGTGTTCAGCACCTTTTCTTCGCAACACAGAAAGAGAATTCTACTTTGTGAAGGTTATAATCCATAAGTGCGATCGAAGGCCGCCTACGCAGAAAGGTGTTCTCTGCAAAAGGTGCTCAGCGCCTTTTCTTCGCAACAGAGAAAGAGAATTCTACTTTGTGAGGGTTATAATCCATAAGCGCGGCCGAAGTCCGCCTAGGCAGAAAGGTGTTCTCTGCAACAGGTTTCAGCGCCTTTTCTTCGCATCAAGTGCGGCCGAAGGCCGCCTACGCAAAAAGAAGTTTATACACAAAAACACTGTATACTTTTTTTCCACATTAATTCGATTTTTGTGAAAACTATAAAAAGGTATATGTATAAATATGTATACATTAAAATTGTCAAATTTCTTGAAGAGGTTTTCGAAAAATATTAGTTTAAAAAAATGCATAATTTAACGTTGACCTTTAATAATTGTAGTTGTTGTTTCCCAAAAAAAATATATATACCGTTATGTTCACCTCAATGGTCTCTATAGATCCTATTTTTTTTTTTTTAATTCGAGGTTTGTAGGTATTGTGCATTTGTTCCATAAAAATTCCTATTTACCCAATTTTTGTCATTAAATGCAAATGCAAGCGCACGAGAAGAGATACATGTAGACAGCTAATTGCCAAAGCGGACAAAAGTTGAGAGTTGCCCAAGATTTTGCTTCGTTTTGCTTCAAACGTTTTTTATGTGAGCATACTCATGCATATGCCTACATCGATCTTATATGTCAAAGCAAAGAACTGTCAAGCAAAGCGAAGAAAGTTGTATGTGAATCAGCCTTAAGCGCGCGGCCGAAGGCCCCCTACGCAGAAAGAAGTTCTGGCACTCTTCTTCTCTGGCAACACAGAAAGGAGAATTCTGCGTAGTAAGGATTATGATACATAAGCGCTGCCGACGGCCGTCAACGCAGAAAAGAGTTTTGCAAGGGCTTTAATTGTAAAAAACTTAGTCTTTGACATTTATTGTTATTGGCATCACTAACTAACCTTCTGCCTTATCATGAGTTTGGCCCGAAAAAATTTCACCCGAAAATCTGTGTTCCGCCCATAATAAAAACATGGAAACCGAACGTGAAAAGTGAACCGGTTCGGGGAAAATGAAACTCATGATAAGGCCTCTTCTCTAAAAGTGTTGCCTGGTTTTCGCTGTCATATTTTGACAACAAGTTTTGCCAACATATGACTGGACCAATTTAGCAGCATATGTACACGACTGAAGACCTATTCTGATCTAAATCAATTCTAATACCGCTTTTTAGTTCCATTTGACAATGTGTTTTCACTTATTTGAGACAAATGCTATTGAATTTGACATTGTGAAAACAAGCCTTAAGATATTGGCAACACCAAGTATGAACCAGAGTACAAGATCACGCCTTCTTAGTAGCCCGTTATAATCGCATTTAGGAAAAAATTTGGGCGACTTTGACATTAGCCGTTTGTTTACATTTGTTGTTGTTTACAATTTGGTGGTGGCTTTTTACTGCAATTTTCTTAATTTCCGCTTGTGACAACGTGTGCACACATAAGGTAAAGAATAATTGAACACAACGACATGAGTTATAGAAGACTTTGCATAATAAAAATGATTATTCATGCGTTCAACAATTACGCGTTTTTTTTTGTTCTCTTCGTTGTTTACTTCTTACAACAAACATGGCTTCGAGATTTCAACAGCTAGAAAATAACTTTTTCTTTCTTTCGGGAAGGCGTGATCTTGTGTCTTTCGTTCATGACACCAAGCACCTCCATGTTTTTATTACACCTAGTTGCAACTAGCAGAATAAATGCGACGCCAGTATTTGTGCATTGTTTTCATATTAATATTTAATTATTACAATAAGTTTCGCGATTTTTTGTTACAAATTCAGTTAAAGTAAACTATAGTGAACATCTAGAGGGTGGGCTTTAGATTGGTAACCCCGGAGTACAGCATTAAGGAAAATATGGGAGGTAGAGGGGGGTCTAACAGTTCCCTGTATGAAGTTTCAAAGCGCGCAACCTTATACTTTTTTAGGAATTTGTTATTAAAGTTTGTAATTTTAACCNTGTTCATGACACCAAGCATGTTTTTATTACACCTAGTTGCAACTTGCAGAATAAATGCGACGCCAGTATTTGTGCATTGTTTTCATATTAATATTTAATTATTACAATAAGTTTCGCGATTTTTTGTTACAAATTCAGTTAAAGTAAACTATAGTGAACATCTAGAGGGTGGGCTTTAGATTGGTAACCCCGGAGTAAAGCATTAAGGAAAATATGGGAGGTAGAGGGGGGTCTAACAGTTCCCTGTATGAAGTTTCAAAGCGCGCAACCTTATACTTTTTTAGGAATTTGTTATTAAAGTTTGTAATTTTAACCAACTTGTATGGCACTATTTTAGGGTACTGTTTAGTAAGTGGCCCACCTATTTCGGGGTATTGCGTCCAAAGGGGTGACCCGATCCAAAAAAAAATTGCACACACTTGTAGCCAAGGGTCTACCCATTATTTTAACATCCACTATTGTAATTTTGGGTCACTAATTTATTTACAAATTGGGTTTGAAATATGCCCTTTTTTGTAAAATTCGGAAATTAGCGTAAATTTATCACTCCTATTCTCCTTAAAGCAGCTACATCAGCAATATATTTTTATATTCTCCTTCACTTTACACTTTACTCGATGAGCTATAACTTTCTTTATAACTTTAATATTAACCAATCAATCACAATTTATTANGATCAATTTTTGATAAAAAAAAGCTTATATACTTAAAGTATTTATTTGTTTAAACGTGCACACTCTTTTTGCGCATATATTGAGTGTAAATAACGTGTAAATTTTGTGGAAAGTGCATTATATATTGTAAAATAGTCAAATACAAGTTGGTGAAAATTACTAACTTTAATAACAAATTACTTAAAAACTATAAGGTTCCGCGCTCTAAAACTTTACATATACCCCCTTTAGAACCATGAAGTGCACAATTACCAAATAACGGAACATCGTCGCTGGAATGGAAAAAGTCGTGACTAATTTTGTCTTTCATAAAACGATGTGGTGAGCATAGTGAAATAAATATTTCACAATGGTGGGGAGTTGTAATACGATGAAATCCATCATAGCAATCAAAAAGTGAATTTTGAATTTTTTTATAAGCTACGACTTTTCGCATTTCAGTGGCGAGGTTGTTACGTTATTTTGCATTTCAGGTGACGCTATAGGGGTATTCTCCGAGTCTTGCAAAGTCCTTGCACGGTGCACAGTTTGCACGGATTGCACGGTAAAAACCGGTTTTCGTATGGGACAACTTTGCAAACCGTGCACCTTGCAAGGGCTTTGCAAGACTCAGAGAATACCCCTTATGTATTTCCGAAATCGATGTGCTTGCAATCACAGTTTGCAACTTTCATTTCTGAAATTATTTCCGTTAAGTGACAGAAAGGTCTTGCTGGCTGTTCACACATCGTCGCCTGGGTAAATCATTATCGTGTTAATTTCGGCAGGTTGTGGGAAATCGTGATTGAAGTTTGGAATGCAATTTCTCAAAAACGCGAACATAGACTTTCTCCAGTCTCTGAAAATGTTACTATATGTATCTCGGAAAGATATTTAAGATATTGATTTTTTTAATGTCTGTATCACTAACTAAATTTTTACTAAATTATCGAAAAAAATTTAGTCAATATCTCGGAAACTAAGAGATATCTAAAAACTGTAACATTCAAAGGAGCCTACTCCAAAATATATAACTGCATCTAGAACTAAAAATCGTCAAAATTGTACTTATACAACTTTTACCCAGGCGACGATATGTAAATAACATTTTTCTTTCCCAAGCGAATTGCGTGGAAAAGTTGGAAATATTGCCAAGTCTGACGGGCTTAAGTAACTCTAAAATATATCATCTTACTTCTGCGATTGACTGCAATCCACGATATGGTTTAAGCTCATTTACGCCATGACTTTTTGGTTTGCCGTATGTACATCCTTTAGGTACTGGACGTTTGCGGCCTCCTCGACGAACACGGATTCGATATATTACATATCCCTGCTTAGCACGATATCCCAAACGGCGAGCTTTATCAGGTCGAGTGGGTCTTGGCGACCTATGCAATTTCGTTAGTTGTCTATATTGCCACACTCGGATCCGAAGCAGATAGCGCATAACATCACTCTGTTTCTTCCTGTACAGTTCCTGCATGNAATAGACTTTCTCCAGTCTCTGAAAATGTTACTATATGTATCTCGGAAACTAAAGGATATACATATCCAAAAACGGAGAACGCCATTTTTAAGATATTGATTTTTTTAATGTCTGTATCACTAACTAAATTTTTACTAAATTATCGAAAAAAATTTAGTCAATATCTCGGAAACTAAGAGATATCTAAAAACTGTAATATTCAAAGGAGCCTACTCCAAAATATATAACTGCATCTAGAACTAAAAATCGTCAAAATTGTACTTATACAACTTTTACCCAGGCGACGATATGTAAATAACATTTTTCTTTCCCAAGCGAATTGCGTGGAAAAGTTGGAAATATTGCCAAGTCTGACGGGCTTAAGTAACTCTAAAATATATCATCTTACTTCTGCGATTGACTGCAATCCACGATATGGTTTAAGCTCATTTACGCCATGACTTTTTGGTTTGCCGTATGTACATCCTTTAGGTACTGGACGTTTGCGGCCTCCTCGACGAACACGGATTCGATATATTACATATCCCTGCTTAGCACGATATCCCAAACGGCGAGCTTTATCAGGTCGAGTGGGTCTTGGCGACCTATGCAATTTCGTTAGTTGTCTATATTGCCACACTCGGATCCGAAGCAGATAGCGCATAACATCACTCTGTTTCTTCCTGTACAGTTCCTGCATGTAACGATAAGCGCCCATATTTCCTCAAATAGACCTAGCAACAAATCAGATAATTAATCGCGTCACATCATCGGTCTATTTTATCTTGGCCAATTTCGATTTATGACTTTTCAGCACATAATATCTACATCTATAATACGCTTCAGAATTACTAAATCAACACCAATGATAATTCAGAGTGGTGCATAGCAAGCATCATCACAAAACCAAAAATCTTTAAACATCGCAGCTTGTACTCACCTCACACGTCCACTTATTAGAAAAACGCTCAGCTAAAAGACAGGAACACGCTAAAGTTGGTTGCAATAGTTTTTAGCGATGGTATAGGTAGTCATGTTCCGATACCAGTACTTATAAGTATAACCTCGAGTACCTCTACCGAGTACCGAGTATTTGTTTGTACTTCCCGTAACGCGTGTTCAAGTACTTCATAGGTATCGAGTACAAAGCGCAAGTATTTACTTGTTTACTAAACTTCTGGGAAAATCAAGTGAAAATAGATCTGTGTTTTAGTAGTTGCGTTCCTTATTTCCCAGAAATAGTCAGAAAAAGTCCGAAGTAGTCAGATTTAATCCAAAAAGCGTTTCTTCCGAAAATCACAGCAAAAATGAGAGAGCGACACTCAGTGAGAGTCCGAAGTAGTCAGATTTAGTCAGAAGAATTTTTGCTGGCAAAATCTTGATAAGCGTCAAACTCAACTAATACAGCGTTTTTGCTGCATTTAAAATGCAACATTTAGCACTTTCGAACATATGTTTTCGAAGAGCGTTCATGCTACCGCATTTAGCAAATGTACATTTACGCGAGTTCGAAATAGTATGCTATTGACAAACAGCCGTNGTACGCGTAAGCAAAAACAGCACATAAGTTTAGTTCTAGGGCCCGTGTTGGGCAGCGCGGTCGCAAACCTCAACCGCGACGCCACCCACCACCACCACAGGGCGGCAACCACCTCAGCAACGCACACAGCCAATGGCGTCACGGCCACACACATCTCTTACACCCCGCATTACCACACGTCTCCCGAACCAATTGAAGTTCCTTCAATTTAACTGCAACGGGCTTCAGAGCAAGATCGAGGAGATAACCGTCTTCATGGGAAGGCATGGTATATTGATAGCTGCGGTCCAAGAGACGAAGATGTTCAACGTATACATACTCCCTATCACCTGCTGCCNAGAAGTTGCACAGCAACTCAACATCGTTGAATTGTGCCGGGTACAACGTGCACAGTCGAGATCGCGAGCGAGATAATGGTGGTGGCTTAGCGTTCATCACGCACCACACCGTGCAGTATCGTCTTATCGAAGCAGACATCGACCGCAAGGATACCATCCCAGAATGTCAGGGCATTGCTATCCGGTCAGGCGATGTTGAGCTCGAAATATTCAACATATACATACCCCCTGTCACCTGCTGCCCGGCAGGATATCACCTTGATATAGGTGCGTTCCTCAGAGGTGAAAACCGAATGGCAGTAGGTGACTTTAATGCGCACCACGATCTTTGGCACTCAAGCCTGTCAAACGATCGTAGGGGAACCGATTTGGCTGAGCAGATAGACGAAGCGGCTGTTCTCGCCGATGAACGTGACAGCCTTCATCAGGCCGATCCCGGAGGTCCCCGTATAAGGGATCTCAACGCGGAGATTCGGCAACTAGTGAATGTACATAAGCGGAAGAAGTGGTAAGAACATCTGAAGACCTGCAACTTCACCTCTGATGTGAGTAAGCTTTGGTCAACCGTGAGGTCACTGTCCAATTCGACGAAGCACGACGACAGAGTCGAAATTTATTTCGGCGACCATGCTTCGTCGGACCTGGAGCGATGCGCGAGCTACTTTAGCCGGCAGTTCATACTGCATCCTCCGGAGGACAAAACCAAGCGTCGAGTGACCAGAAATCTGCACAAACTGCCAACAACTTGTACCCCCTTGCTTTCACTTGCGGTGAAGTTCAGGTGGCCATCGGGAAGGCGAACACCTCCAAAGCCCTGGGTCCCGACGGAATATGCATGCTAATGCCGAAAAATTTGGGTCCCGCGGGAGTAGCGTACCTAACGGAGGTCCTCAATTTGTCAATGGCCACTCTCATCATCCCAGACATCTGGAAGGTGGGGAGAGTGGTCCCACTGCTCAAACCGGGGAAACCTGCCAACAAAGGAGATTCGTATCGGCCGATAACACTCCTTTCCCCGGTAGCGAAGACACTTGAGGTCCTGCTGCTCCCGTATTCCACGAACCACCTGACCCCAGCGAAGCATCAGCATAGTTTCCGTAAAGTGCACAGTACAACAACAGCACTTAACGCCATAAACACTCAGATAACTCGTGGCCTTAACGGTAACCGTCCCTGTGCGAGAACGATTCTAGTAGCGTTGGACCTGTCAAAGGCTTTTGACAAGATATTGAGACTCCCTTTCTCCCACAGAGGCTCAAACGGTGGTCGGCAAATTATCTCACTCTCGTCGGTAATGTTTAGAGACAAATTGAGCAAACTTAGGAAAACCAAACAGGGGGTTCCACAGGGTGGTGTCCTTTCCCCGCTACTGTTCAACTTCTTTCAAAGCTCCCTCAACCACCAGAGGGGGTCTCGATAGTCTCTTACGCCGACGATTGCTCGATCATGGCGACTGGGAATGGGATTCTGATGACTTCTGTTCGAAAGTAAGGGGGTATCTCACCGATCTTTCTCGCTTCTTCACTGCAGATGTCTAGCCCTCTGCCCTACGAAATCTTCTGCGACCTTGTTCAAAACCTGNGATTCTGATGACTTCTGTTCGAAAGTAAGGGGGTATCTCACCGATCTTTCTCGCTTCTTCACTGCAAAGTGTCTAGCCCTCTGCCCTACGAAATCTTCTGCGACCTTGTTCAAAACCTGGACGAAGGAGGTCAGGCTACCGCTGGAATTCACGTCGATGATACACCAATTCCGACGGTGAATAACCCCAAAATACTAGGAGTAACATTCGACAGCCTGCTCTCCTTCTCTGCGCACGCAACCGCTATTGTCAATAAAGTACAGAGCCGCAACAAGGTCCTCAAGTCGCTAGCCGGCAGTACTTGGGGCAAAGACAAATAAACGTTGCTGGCAACATACAAGGCAATAGGCCGGCCGGTTTTAAACTACGCAGCACCAGTGTGGTCGCTGGGGGCTAGTAGGACACAGTGGATGAAGCTACAGACAGCACAGAACACCGCACTCAGTACAGCGACCGGATGCCTCCTAATGTCACCCGAACACCACCTCCATGACGAGGTGTAGGGTGTATTAGGGAGTATAACATAATGCTCTGCAAGCAGCGTCTGGTTGGGAGCCACAGATGCGGCCACCCAAACAGACAACTGCTTGCAGAGGAGCCCTGCCTAGACACGTCAGGAGGCATCTATATGAACTGACGGACGAAGTCCAGAGGTTAATTAAGCAGCCTCTGGACCCGTCAGCATTCCGGCAGGCCATGAACGTCATTCACAGGGACTCAGCCTCGAGTTATGTAGACTCTAGACCTGTGAAAGCCGTTCTAGGCACACAAACGCCGGACTTTGACGCGACGCAGCTCTATCTGCCTTGGGAGACAAGAACAACAATAGCCCAACTTCGCTCTGGCTACTGCAGCAGGTTAAACTCATACCTGAGTAGACTAAATGAGGATGTGCCAAATGAGTGTCCGGCATGCGGAGATACCCCTCACGACTCGAAACATCTCTTCGCATGCCCGGAAAACCCGACAACCCTAAGGACGTTGTCCCTGTGGACCGACCCCGTAGAGGCTGCACGCTTCTTGGGGCTGCCGTTAGTGGAACTCGACGACAACGACTGAGATATCAACCGATCTGGGCGGGGTTGTTGTAGCCGCTACAACAACAACAAGGTGGTATCAGTTGTGACAGCTCGATTTGACACTGCCTTAGCCCAGTCGAAGAAAAAGAAAAACGGAAAGAAATTAATCCCCATTTGGGGGAAAAATATAATATTTCATATTTTCTTCTAAACAAAATTTGCTGTTTTATAGTATATTCGCAATGAAATTAAATAAAATAAGATATAATACCTTTTTGAGAAAATCAAATATTATTAGGCAAGAAGTAACACCGTTTCACCTAACTGCCCGTCTCCACAGGATAAAGTTTATATCTTGATACATATATTAGAATATAAATATAAATAGCCAATGGAGACAGCTCATTGCTCTTCAAGAGCAATATATATCAGAGCTTATATCTTGCCATCTCTTGCCGGCCAATTGGTAGTTTGACAGCTACATTTTCATTTGCACGAAAACTTCGTGGCTGCAACATCATTATTATTTTTATATAAAAGCAAAAATTGAGCTGTTTCCTGTTAAAACATTTGTAATAATGTACTTGGATGTAAAATACCCTATTTTCTAAATTTTTTTATGCGACTAAATCCGGCAAAAATACATTTTCAAAGCTATCTTACAAATGCTTATATCATGATATAAAAAGCCCACACAAATATTGCCACTGATATAACTTATATCTAGCGACCAAAATGACAGCTGAGCAGCAATAAATTTTATCCTGTGGAGACGGCCAGTAACGCAGTCAATATGGCGGAATTAGCGCGAGAAGTTGCCAACCGATAACACCTTGTATTATTGCATCATGCTCTAAAGGTACATTTATCTATACAAAATTCGTCACCTAAATGCAACTAAATGCAATTCCATTTTTGCATTAAGATTCTAAATGCTATAAGCAACCTTGTTATCTTCCAAAATTTCCTCGATTCGAACATGGTTTAATGAGAAAACATGGCAACATTGCTTTTTCGAGTATACAGTGGCTAGCTGCGATTCAGTGATCGCCGATCGAGATTTCATATATTATTTTACATTATTTGGATAAAGAAAAGTTAAGCAAATTCAACATCGATGTGATGCTGATAGAAATCTGGATCAGTTTGTGATCAACTCAGTTTGTTTTGTTTCCTAATTAAGTGAGGAAATTTTAGTTGACAGCACCACCAAATGAATATATACATAAACAAATGTTCGGTTGTGGTTAAAAAATTCAAGTTTTTGTATTGAATTTTTGGTTTAAAATTAATTTTTTCCTTTTCAGTAGGGTTTTTGCACATTATCTTCTGCGTGAGAATTGATCGTAATACATACGGACCTGAATAAGCGACTGGAACACGGCTGTTTGTCAAAAGAATACGATTTCGAACGCACGTAAATATACATTTGCTAATGCATGAACGCTCNCTTGCCGGCCAATTGGTAGTTTGACAGCTACATTTTCATTTGCACGAAAACTTCGTGGCTGCAACATCATTATTATTTTTATATAAAAGCAAAAATTGAGCTGTTTCCTGTTAAAACATTTGTAATAATGTACTTGGATGTAAAATACCCTATTTTCTAAATTTTTTTATGCGACTAAATCCGGCAAAAATACATTTTCAAAGCTATCTTACAAATGCTTATATCATGATATAAAAAGCCCACACAAATATTGCCACTGATATAACTTATATCTAGCGACCAAAATGACAGCTGAGCAGCAATAAATTTTATCCTGTGGAGACGGCCAGTAACGCAGTCAATATGGCGGAATTAGCGCGAGAAGTTGCCAACCGATAACACCTTGTATTATTGCATCATGCTCTAAAGGTACATTTATCTATACAAAATTCGTCACCTAAATGCAACTAAATGCAATTCCATTTTTGCATTAAGATTCTAAATGCTATAAGCAACCTTGTTATCTTCCAAAATTTCCTCGATTCGAACATGGTTTAATGAGAAAACATGGCAACATTGCTTTTTCGAGTATACAGTGGCTACCTGCGATTCAGTGATCGCCGATCGAGATTTCATATATTATTTTACATTATTTGGATAAAGAAAAGTTAAGCAAATTCAACATCGATGTGATGCTGATAGAAATCTGGATCAGTTTGTGATCAACTCAGTTTGTTTTGTTTCCTAATTAAGTGAGGAAATTTTAGTTGACAGCACCACCAAATGAATATATACATAAACAAATGTTCGGTTGTGGTTAAAAAATTCAAGTTTTTGTATTGAATTTTTGGTTTAAAATTAATTTTTTCCTTTTCAGTAGGGTTTTTGCACATTATCTTCTGCGTGAGAATTGATCGTAATACATACGGACCTGAATAAGCGACTGGAACACGGCTGTTTGTCAAAAGAATACGATTTCGAACGCACGTAAATATACATTTGCTAATGCATGAACGCTCTTCGAAAACAAATGTTCGAAAGTGCTAAACGTTGCATTTTAAATGCAGCGAAAGCGGTGCATTAGTTTTGTTGTTGCTATTCTTTGGACTAAAATTTTGGTTATTTGCGTTCCTTTACTTTTTCCTGTTATTCTCTTTTAGTGAGCGCATTTTGATAACCCTCTTGCGTTTAGACACTTTTCAGATTTTAGTCCGAAAGGAAAAGGAATGGACCATGGCACAATAAACAGGTAATAGCAGAAGAGCAAATGCAACCCTTCCATATATTTTGTTGTTGCTTGAGAAACATAAAATGTCAAACGAGAAATGTCAAATAACACCAATGTAAACAAGTTTGACAATTCATAAAATTACCATTTTTCATACAAATGCAATGCATTAAAGTAAATAAAATATGGTTTAAAACAATTGAACTGAATTATGTGCTTGTACCACGAAATAAACTGAATGACCCGTAGTGAACGTCTTTTGCCACATATTTCCATAGCGCATAAATGGTTTTTATAGCAAATGCCGGTTTCTCGAAAAACGAATACTTAGCGGATTCTCAAAAAGAAAAACAAGTGCGTAGCGATACTAAATCAGAGGCACTGCGGTTGCTCAATAAAAAAGATGTGGTTATCGTGGACGCTGGCAGTTATATTATTTATTTATTTAATCTAGAAATCTAGAAATAAACATTTCGTAGAGACTATTTGGTAAAAAACAAAATATAAATTAATAACTAATTTAGCGAACTATTTAAAAGTAGTTTGAAGTTAGATTTGGAAGAAGAGAACTCGATAGCAGAAGAGTTTTAGAGCGAATTAAGCTCGTTTAGAGCTCTGCGAATAGGAGCGTTATTCGCATAATTATTCCTGACAAAATTCAGAGAAAAAATGTCATGATTCCTAAGGCTTCTTGGTGGGATATTAAATGTAATCCGTTCGAGTAAGAACGGCGAGTCAATCGCACCCGTATAATGTCAAAAACGAAAGTAAGAGAAAGAATAATCCTTCTATTATGCAGTGATTTAAGGTTTATAAGCATGCATTTAGCAGCGTAAGATGGGAAAGGATCAACGAAATGTAGAGAGCGTAGAGCATAACGAATAAAAGATTTTTGGATACGTTCAATTCTGTTGATGTGACATTCATAATATGGTCGCCAGATGAAGACAGCGTGCTCGAGCTTAGAACGAACAAGAGTAGTGTATAATAATTTTATGGTATATGGATCAGTGAAGTCCGAGCTAAATCGACGTATAAAAGCAAGCATTGAATATGACTTTGCAATGGTATAACTTAAGTGTCTGTGAAAAAGAAATCTAGCATCAAAAATTACTCTTAACTCAGAAACTTCACCAATGGTGGCAAGCTGCGAGTCACCTATGAGATACGAAGTTTGGGTAATGGAACGTGATTTGGAGTAGGAGGCATGGTAACACTTTTTTATATTTAAATTTAATCTATTTTTGGAGCACCAAGCAACCACGTTATTAAGATCAGCCTGTAGATTGAATGAGTCTGATGCATTAGAAATTGTAGAATAGATTTTCAAGTCATCCGCATACAATAAAAATTTTGAAAAGTTGAAACAACTAGAAATATCATTAATGAAAATCACGAAAAGTAGGGGACCCAAGATCCTCCCCTGAAGACCTCCAGAGGAAGCGATGAAGGGATAGGAGAACACATTGTCAACTACAACAACACATATGATATGATTTTACCCAAGATAAAAAAGCTGAATGAAAACCTATGCTAGCCAATTTTGAAATTAATATTGAATGACAGACTTTGTCAAACGCCTTCGAAAAGTCCGTATACACGGTATCGACCTGCAGACGGTTATTAAAGGTAGTTAAACAGGAGTCGGTAAAAACAGCTAGGATAGTTACAGTGGACCTTCCAGGCATAAAACCATGCTGATTAACAGATATTAAGGGACTAACAGCAAAAAATACTTTTTGTTTGACAATAAACTCAAATAATTTGGATATCGTTGATAAATTTGCTATTGGCCGATAGTTGCTTATATCGTTTTTATTGCCAGATTTGAATACCGGGGTGATAAGAGTGGTCTTCCAAGCATCTATAAACTCCCCCTGTTCAAACGATTTATTGAAGATCAAAAAAAGTGGATAGGCAAAGGCGGCACAATTCTTCAACAGGAATGACGATATTCCATCAACATCAGATTGAGTTGAAGATTTGATATGCCGGATGCCATCCTCAACATCATCAATTGAAATAGCAAGCGAACCAAAATTGATAGGAGAATGGGCACTCTGAGGATAACCGAAGCTTGCATTTCATGATAAAGCACATCACTGGGAATACTGGAACACGATTTCTTGGACTGGACATACCTCCAAATTTAAGATCATAATTCCGCTTAAGAACCGTACTCATCGACTTAAACTCTCTGGAGTATCGCAAGTATTTATCCTTGTGAGATAGGCATTTGAAAGTTTAAATTTCTTAAAAAACTTGTTTTTCAAATTCCTCGATTTTTTTAAGATCTTTGGTATACCAGGGAACCTTATAGCTTTTGGTATATTATCCGCACAGATTACATTCATTTCTTGCTTAAAAGTATCTACTACAAAGGGTGTAATAAGGCGCTAGCATGGGAGTTTAAACAGCAGCGCACTAGTGCAGATGTGTTGGATGATCGAGTGGACAATTTGAACGTGCCATATACATGGGAAATATTCGATACTTTGTGTATGGGTTACAAAGAGCCGCATGGCAACTGCCGTTGGGATAGTCCATTGTTTGTAGTGTTTCCCGATAATGCGCTTATTTTAGAGGCTATCTATGGCGCGCTATACGAGTGGAAAACCCTGCCAGCAAATCAAAGCACACAATATGTAAGCAAAGAAAAAAATTAAAATGCAAATACTTTGTTTACTTCTATCATTCTTATAGCCACCACTAAGCGCTACAAATTATCTTTTCGAGCTGGATAAGTTAACGCAACAAATTATAGCCGACGCCTTGGCTGCACGAAAAATTGGTAACACCGGCAATGTTGCCAAACATGGGCATTTACTACCAAAACTGGTAGGTTATTTTCCATTTGGTAGATTGGTAGGATAGATTGGATTTTGGTAGGTTCCGCGACAATAATAGTTATTTGCGTAAAAGGTGAAGTCCACCATATTTCACCTGACAGAGACTTTATTGTAAGACTTGAGGAATACCACTAAAACTAACCTATTGATCTTTGAATATGATAATAAGACCCGTTGTCACATATGCAGCACTGGCCTGGTGACCGAAAGCTACGCAAGTAAAGGAGGTTTTCACCTTTAGCAAGCTGCACCGACAGGTCCGCGTGGCCATTACAGGATGTCCAACGGATGACCTTGGTGTCATTACAGGCTTGTGGACAGCTGTAAAACTCTTTTGAACCACTTGGAAGCCAACAATAATGTAACGCTGTGTGGGGTTCCGGGACATGAAGGGTTTAAAGGCAACGAAAGCTGACTGTCTCGCAAAGCGTGGAGCCCAAACGCACTTGCATGGTCCCTAGCCTTTTGTGAGCTGGTGGAGGAAACTCCAGAGCATATTCTATGTGACTGCCCACGTATCATAAATAAGTATCAGACTGATACACTTTGTGGAAGGATTGTCTTCATCCAAAATTTTATTTAAACATGGCGTCCTCCAAATAAGGTTGAAATGATTACAATTAGAGTTATGAACAATAGATAATCTAAGGTCGCAGCGCGTGTATCCCAGACATAATAATAATAATATCGTCGATGTTTTTGCAAAACCGCCCATCGCCCAATTGCAAAACCGCCTATCTTATGGCACTCAAATTTTACAGGAGAGCGAAAACAGTTTAGTCTTTGGAAGGCGTAGCCTTATTAGGTGGTATTTTCTTTAGCTATTATTTTAATAACGATTTAACGATTTTTATGCATAAATCCCGATGCCTGGAGCTCAGGGTTACCAAATCTCATTTTTGCCACAACGGCGATTTAGGCGGTTTTGCAACTGGTCGATGATGTGTAAAGAGACAAATATTTGTGTAAGTCTGTACAGTAAAATGAATTGTTATACGTAGTTCATTTGTTTTTATTGTACTAGCTGTTTTTTAGTTTTCCTAAATGTTATGTTAACTAAATTTTTAATAAACTTGTCATTAAGATAATATTAAAAACTTAAATAAAATTTTGGTAGGTTTTGGTTGATTTTGGTAGGAAAAAAATTTGCCTGTGCCAACACTGAACACCGGTCCAGTGCCAGTGAAAGCTAATCAGGTGAAAGTAGAAGTTCCGGCGGCCATAAATGCTATTCAACTGAATCGGCTACGAAGGCAATTTCTGAATTATAGTAAATTGCATCATGCGACCACTAGCACATTGGACAAAGTGCCGCAATTGTTTGTACAATTTTTAAATTCAAATTGTAATGAATAGCTTAGCTTTTATGAAATGAAATTTTAAATGATATAATCTACAATTTCAACACCTTAACGGCAACAAAAAAAAAAACGAAAAAATGTAATATTTGTAGTAAGTGGTAATGTTTTTAGCTGAAATTCCGTTTGCTTTTAGTATATTTTTCTTATTTTGCTTATAAAGGTGTCTTAATACAATTCCATTATTTAATATTATATTTCCTACTGTATTTCTATCGTAGATGGTTGCAAGAGAAATAAAAAATATTAAAAAACTGCATCCAGTTAACTTTATCATATGCATAGGACTATGAGGGAAAAATCAACCAAATTAAAAATTTGCTTGCCACTAATTTCCATACAGGTAAAATTTTTATTTCATTAATTTCGTGAAAAGTGTGTTCTACCAACTATTTTTCGACTTTGTAGATTCTGAAATCATAGTTCTGGTTATTAATTAAACTTAAAAATATATTCCAAGTTAAAGAATTCAATNAAATTTTAAATGATATAATCTACAATTTCAACACCTTAACAGCAACAAAAAAAAAACGAAAAAATGTAATATTTGTAGTAAGTGGTAATGTTTTTAGCTGAAATTCCGTTTGCTTTTAGTATATTTTTCTTATTTTGCTTATAAAGGTGTCTTAATACAATTGCATTATTTAATATTATATTTCCTACTGTATTTCTATCGTAGATGGTTGCAAGAGAAATAAAAAATATTAAAAAACTGCATCCAGTTAACTTTATCATATGCATAGGACTATGAGGGAAAAATCAACCAAATTAAAAATTTGCTTGCCACTAATTTCCATACAGGTAAAATTTTTATTTCATTAATTTCGTGAAAAGTGTGTTCTACCAACTATTTTTCGACTTTGTAGATTCTGAAATCATAGTTCTGGTTATTAATTAAACTTAAAAATATATTCCAAGTTAAAGAATTCAATTTCATATGCCTAATATTCAATATTTATACTAATCGATCATATTCGTACAACATAGTTGGCATCAAGAGAGTTGTGTTTTTATAAACTGATACTGAGGGCCTGTACCAAATGATAGAAAAGTGAAAATTTTGACGGATCAAAGTAAAAATCTGACATTTCTCGTGGTGAATAAGAATGTCAGAATTTTACCTAGCTCATGGGGCTAGGTAAAATTTTGACAGCTTATAACCATGTATACACATAATATTGCTTGGCGGTAATAAGGAGTTAACATGAAAATGAAAGCTTAAACAGCATAAAAAAGCGTACGTTACTTGCAAATTATAAAATAAATATAAATTTTAAGAATTTCAGCAACACACAAAACTAAAGCTTGCGCACGAGCGTTTGTTTGGTTTTTCAACTTTCAAAATTTAACTCTGCATTTGGCACAGCAAAATTCAATTTATTTGTACACCATAGCAAATTTTTCCACCCCGTCTCACCACGGAGAAAAATGTTACCGATTGGCACAGGCGCTGATTAGCATATGCATACTGGGATGTGGAAGAATTTGTTATGTGTGTGTCGAAAAACAAAAAACTAGGATTGCAAAATGACTAATAACTAAGTGTTAGGCAAGATAATACCTTGCGTCATTTGCCGCTAATACTATTGATTTCAGTATATCCAGTAAAAAAACTTAGCTATTTTTTTCACCAAATTTGGTGCCCATAAAGGACTAGTATTGCAAACAATGCTTTTTCGGCGGTATGGGTGTTGTGCAGCAATTCAAGGTGGTGAAAATTATTTTAGCACTAGAGAAATGGATAGAAAAATATTTCAGTGCGCTTGAACATCTCAGGCTTAACGGAAATATAAATGTATTTAGAATATTTATTTTATTAATACATACCCATTTTTTATATTACTGTGTCGAAGTCGTTGCTCAAATATTTGTAATTTAGTATTTAAGTTAATTGTGAAATATTTTGAATGCACAAGTTAAATATGGGCTGATGATATACTTTAAATAAAATGTTAATCTGCGAAAATATCTTTTCAGCATATGAATATACATACTTCTTAACTTTTGCCGAAAATGTACATACAGGTTCGAAATTATGACACTAACTTTCAAATATCGTCTCTTGAATGGAAAATTTCCGTAAGCGTAATTTTGACAGTTTTTAATTAAAGATACTGTTATATATTTTAAAATAAGATATTTCGATTTTTTGTTAACAGTTTATTTGATACCTTCTTTAGTTCCGAGTAATTGACTAAAATGTTTTGGTAATTTGGTACCAATTACGTTAGTAATGCTGTCGTACTAAACTAATCAAGGTCTTTCAAATAGCGTCATCTGTTTTCAAATATCTGCTTTAGTTTCCGACATATTCAGCCTTGTCATGAGTTTCATTTTCTCGAACCAATTCACCTTTTCACTTTTCGTTCCCGTGTATTCACTACGGGTGGGTGAAAAAAATTCTGGCGAAACTCACGATTAGGCTGATTAGTAAAATGCATCGTTAATTAACAAAAAAAGTTTAGCTTGTATATTTATCTCTCTAACGCATTAATTCTATATACGTGAAGACCAACGCCCGACGCCGTTATGTCTGCATTTAATACCGGCTCTATGACAAAATATTCAAGAAATGTATTCGTAGATTTTTATTTACTTCATTTCATACATTAATATTGATCTGATTTTACCAGGAATAAGTATTTAACAAAAAACGATTTCACTTAAGCTGAACCAACTTTTAGTTGCTCGGAGCTAATTTTGGAACTCTTCATAAAATATTTTCATAGACGGTAAATGCAACCCTGGTTGCATCAGTAATTTGCTGAAAAACCAAAAAAAAAAATTAAATTTGTCGATTGGAGCTTTTTGAAATGGCCTTTAGAAACGGCAATGGAATTTCGACACTATTCAAAGAATTGCGAATATAAGCTGCCTTCCGTTTGGCATATTTACGGGTTAAACCTTCAGAAAGTTCCAAAAAAAAAAATTTTCTATTTTTACTTATTATATATTTTTGAAATAAAGATACTCCACCTTGTACACCAAAAAATTTCTTTAAACCATCTTCCGCAGCAGTTTCTTGATCTTATCTTCACAGTTACCGAAATCACCAACCTCAACGTAGTGATTAGCCCTCTTGCGCCAGCCGCCGGTTGGTGTTGAGCTTGAATGGCCAGAGGAAGTTGGAGGCTTTCTTGAAGTGGGAATATTTCGTGCGCCAAATAATCAACGCACTACATATCGTGCGCTTTGCGCAATTTGCGTTCGATCACAGAGTTGTCAGAGATTGAGACACGTTGATGGTTGTGCTTGACAATTCCACGTTTGTAGATCAATTCACGAACTGATTTAAGATTCGGCAATGCGTAGCATATTAATGGTTCAATTTGATGAACAAACCGTGGTTAATGTGGCGAAAACGGAACAATAGTAAAACTTTACGCACTTTTGGTGCAACGTTGTTGATACCGCGGATACAGATCACAAAAGCCAATTTGTCTTCTTGCACGTAGAATGGGCCGCGTTTCTTAGCCAGACGGCGCAACTTATTCTCACGGCGTCCATCACGGAGATATTTTGCTTGATATTTCTCAGCATGCACCAAGTTTCACGTTTGCGGAGTGCAATCACAGCAGAGCACTTGATCAGGGTAGCACTTTTGCTGACCTGCTTCTTGCTGAACTTCAGCTACGACTCGGAGACAGCAGGCAGCTACCTGGAAGGTTGTTTGCCCTCTGCTTCGGGCTTCTTACCGTCCGTGGTGGCAGTCATCTTAACTTGTAACTTAGCACGTTGAGCTGACGAAAAGAATTTCGCCAAATATTTGGAGCACATCTTAAATAACGCCACTCGATTTATAACATTTCTATTGAGCACAATTTCATTTAATTAAATACTTTTTTAATACATAGATATGCTGCAACCAGGCACTTACTTTCCCAAATTCCATCTTGCTTATCGGCATAATTATCCAAATGTGCCCGCGCTGCTACTTATACTAATAACTTCATTTTCAAACTGCGCATTCTTTGTTGCCTCAACATATCCTAAAAATACATAAAATTTACATTAAACAAAAGAAATCGCAAAAATTAGCAAATAAAATACTCCCTTCACTTTGCTTTGTTGTCAAATTTCTGAGAAATGTGAATTCACCATGATGCAATACAGAAAGAACAAGGACCAGGGATGTAATTTTAAGTAAACTAATATGCCCAATGCGCAGAGCGTTCCGAGTAGCAAAATTAATTTGTATCAAATATAACATTAAACGGTGGTTATAATACACTTTTTAATATTATTAATCAGAGTACATACATTATATGGTATTTCTTTCAAAAATTAATGCACTATATGCATATTTTTTTTAATGGATCTTAAGTTTCTTTCATTGGTGCTGAAAAGCAACCATGCGTGTAAGAAATTGTGTGCTACCTAAAATTTCACCTCTGGAAACTTTACCCCATAAAGGACTTCACAACAGTTTTTTTTACTGAATATACTGAGCTATTGATGTTGGTATGCGTATATGTAGCCATTGCTGTAGTTATCTTCATAGACTGCGTTTATACACGAAAACTTTTGTCGCCGCAATTTTTCACATTCCCTTTTGGTGTTGCTCGTTTCATTTACACACGGCGATTTTTGTGTATGCAATTGTTGTTGTCAGCTGCGAACAGCGGTTCAATTTACACAGACGAACGAGAGCACAAAGCGTGTTGCCCGAGCACGAGCAACTCGGTGCCCCTCTCCTTTCCTCGTCACGCTCTCTGCTACAAACGTCGAGTGGCGGCAACAAAAATCGCCGTGTGTAAATGAGCACATAGTGACTATTGTTGCTGCTACTGCCAACGTCGCCATCAACAAGCTCATCAGATTCATCATCGCAATGCGATTAATCGTTAATACGGTCAACTGGATTTTCTGGCTTGCGCCAAATCCAAAATAAGCTATCATATTCACTCTTAAGCATGGATTATGGGTTTTATGCATATTTAGTGCGTACGCCTGTTTGGCTACGAAGAAAATCAAAGCCAACCATTTTGATGATTAGCT